GTAGTATTCATTCTTAATTGCCATTACAATAAAAGTCTCAAAGTAATTAATATCCCCCAGAGTAATGGTAGTTTATAAACAATGTTTTGAATTCAGTTATGTAGTAGGCAACCACTGATCCTCTGAGGTCCTGTCAGGTGCCTGATGAATGATTAATCTGCTTGTATGGAGTCCTGTAACCACTGCACCAAGACTTTCCACAGATATGCCCAGGCAAGAGTATGGAGGAGTGGAGGTTGGTCAAGACCTACCATCCCATTTTAGACCATTGAGACAGAATCCAAAGGACAGACTGAGTCCAGAAGTTCAGGGCCTCAATGGTTGTTGCTTCTCCCAAAGAGCAACAGCTAAGAACTGCTGCTGAGTGCCTAACACCTCAGCAAGGGCATGCTGATGTACCTACCCAAAAGTGGCTACCTACCCTAGTGTGGGCTAGGGTTCTGAGGTGCCCTATACTTGTCTTATTCTGGAGGCTGCACCATTGTGGTATTTTATAGGAGCTACCCCGCCACAAGTAACCCCACCACGTTGCCAAGTTGGACAGAGTTTATGGTCATACCCAGGATATGAAAAAGGGACTATTCTTAGAAGAGAAGAGCTTCTCTCTCTCTCTCCCATCTGGGTATAAAAACAGGCACCACTTCCCCTCATGTTTCTGAACAAAGATGCACTGAACACCAAGTCATTATTTAATATGCATGTCCATGAAGGATTTGCCAGCCTTTTATGACAGAGGAAAAATGCAAAGATGGCAATTTATTACTGAACTGTGCCCTGTGGTCACAAGTCAAGTGAACCTTACATGGCTTCATTATTTCCTTCCCAAGAAAAGACTACACAGGAAGTAAATTAATATTTCATACACTGCGAGTGATTTGATGTTGAAAAGCCTGGCACATTAGTTGACAGAGTACAAAATGTAGGTGGGTCTCAGACCATCACTAACGTGTTAGCAAAAAACAAATCTTCAGTCTCCCGACATCAGGAGTTAATTCAAGGTCACAAAAGAACATTAAAATTACCAACAAGCAATAGAGATGTCCGAAGAGTCCAGGCTCAACCTAAAACTTCACACATCCTCCTAGTCACTGCAATGAACAGCACAAGAGCCAATTACACAGCGTAGTCAAGAGATCAGCCAAGAAACTAATTCAAGAGTCAGAGTTTAGCTCCTAAGTTTAGCACCACCAAAAGCAAATGTACAAGTGGTTACCATTTGGTACATGTAAGAATCAACTAGTCTCCATGTTGTATTATAGCTTGGACTGTATTGCTTTAGCCAAGTTATTTCTAGATAAAGAACTTCTAAAATAGTAGGACTGAGTTATGGATATTTATGGTTACCAGGGAAATAAGTGAGGTCAGCTGAGTTGGAATCAATTGGATACCAACAAATGAAGCATAAGTTAACTTATAACTCCTCTACGATTTCAAACTAAGTAAACGAAATTAAACAATAGCTAAAAGTTTAGCATACTCTACCATGTGGACTTCAGTAATTTGTTTTCATCAAACAAAGTGACTATGTCATTGTGACTAATCAAATACAGTCTTTGGCTTTTGCCCAAGCTCCCATTGGACCTTCCTTGCTATATATAGTCTCAGAAAGTTGAAGGCCAGAAAGGATGATTAGATCATCTAGTCTGATTTCCTGTTCATAACAGGCCATTAGGTTTCACCCAGATACCCTTATATTAAAGCCAAAGAGTTTAGCTAGACTACAGCATTTGAGTCCTCAGGAGACTAAACCGGTAGAGAGCAGAAGAAATCCAGGCACCACCCAAGGTAATCACTGTAACTTTTGTTTGTTAAAGTGGTACATATAGCCGTGCAAAAAAGTTTCACAGAATACCTTAGCTGCATGCCAAAAAGTTACGATAGCAAATAGGAGCATAGATCTTCCCTCCTCTCGCCATTCACACACCATGTGGAATCCCTCTAGAGAGAACCTTACTTGGCTCATAGGAAATATCTGGCCCAATAGGAACACCATTATAGACAATTTAACATACAAATGTTTCATCAGAATATGCTACGAAACAAGCATCAGAAAGCAGAGGTGTAGCAGGGCAGCCAGCAGTGGCTGCTTCCATGCCGACCGCGGCAGCTGCTTTTGCATACCCCCACAAAAGCAGTCGACCGGGTTGCTGCCCTGGTAACCCCCGCACTCAGTTATACTACTGTCAAAAACAGCATAAAAAAGAATTTGCAGCTTCAGCCTTATTTGATTTTAGTTGTGTCATTTCCTGAAGGACTGTGGGTTAAGACAGTTTAAGTGATGGTGAGGTGGGTAGAATTCCAACTGTGGATCTTAAACGAGATCAGATAGGACCATAGGAAAGTAGGGCTGGAAAGGACCTCCTCATGAGATCACCTAGTCCAGCCCCATGTTCAAAGCAAGTTCATCACTGACTAAACCAGCCCAGGAAAGTTTCTATCTTACCCGCCCTTGAACATTTCCAGGAGGCAGATTCTATGACCTCTCTGGGTAGCCTGTTCCAATGCTTACCAATTCTTATTAGTCAGAACTTTCTTCCTAATTTCCAACCTGAATTTCCTCTGCTGCACATTGCTTTTAGTCCTGTCCCCGATGGCCATAGAGGATAGTCTAATCTCCATCCTTTTTGTAATCTCCTTTCAAGTATTTGAAGATTTATCAAATGCCCCCTCAGTCCTCTATTCTTCAGACTAAATAATCTTAGTTCTTTCAGCCTTTCATCCTAAATCATGTTTTCCAGAATTCTAATAATTTTTGTCACTTTCTCCTGGACTCTTTTTTAATCTGTCAACATCTTTCTTGAAGGATGTAATCTTTGTATCCAGGCCAAAACTGGATACAGTACTCCAAGTGAGGCCTCGCCAGTGCTGAACAGAGCAGAAGAATCACCTCCCTTGATTGGCAAGCGGCACTCCTGTTAGTACAGCTTAGCCTCCTGGCTTTTTCCCCAGAAGAAGAGCACACTACTGGCTCGCATGCAACTTCTGGTCAACTGTAACCCTCAGGTCCTTCTCTAAGTACTGCAGCCTAGCCAATCAATCCGTGGTCTGTATTTGTGTATGCAATTATTGCATCCCAAGTGCAAGACTTGCCACTTGTCCTTGGTGAACTTCGTCCAATTCATTTGGGACCATTTCTCCAGATGAAAGGATGAGGAAACGATAGCTCTTTTCTACTAGTAAACCACTATCTATCCAGTGAATGCATGTATTCCCAAGTTAAATGATAGCTACTTCACAGTCAGGGTGCAGTGCTGGTAAACTGCCAGAGTCTTGAAATTCTGGAAGTATTCTTCCTAAGGAACTAAGTTCTACATTTTTCATTTCATCCAAGGAGGATCTCAACAGAATACAAATATCTATTTTTACTTAATCAGCAGGTAACAACACAGAGCTTTTAAGTCTTTGTCCTGTACTACAAAAACTCCAAATCCTTACCCTTGAAAGAGGATGCTCAAAAATGTGCATCACGTGTGCTTGTCTGCATCTGAAGTATGGGTTGTTATGTTGGTCCCCATCTGTGAAAACTAGCTGCACACTGACTTTGGCCAGTCCAGAACCTGGCTAACCAGGGCCCACTGATAATGTGGGAGGTCAAACCAGGAGGGCAGGTAACAGGATCAGCAATGAGAATCTTTGTTTTCATTGATCACAAATACAATTTCTCTAACCAATGTGATTCAAAGCTGTCCTGGTGCAGCATGTTGAACCACAGGAATCAACTCAATGACAAGCTAATTACAGGTAGTTTAAAAAATACATATGTAAGTGGCAAACCGAGCCAATCTTCTCTAACCTAAGAACAGTGTCCTCATGATAGATGTGAGAAGATGCTTGATACCAGCCGTCACGGTAGTGGAATACAGCAACATGCACATGGTGCAATGTAACTGCTCATCAACAAGCTTTGTGTATGATTAATGGCACCAGATTGGTGCACAATATTCTGCAATTGAATAGCAGATGGCAAGTGAGGATGTTTGGAAGGTGTTCAGCAAGCTGTAGATATGTATCAGTGTAATTTCTCATGTAGAAACTTATTCCAAAATAAGAATGACCTTTGTCAATTTAGCTTAAACTGCTTCCAAGCTGACAAATTAAACCAGAAAAAGGCCCACAAATGCCAAAATAAGAATGCCTACAGAGAAAATTATAGCAGTGTGTCTAAAGTGCAATATTATTTTTCTCCAAAAAAAATTCCAACAATTGTGGATATTCCCTATTATTCATATCAATGTTAATGATTTTTTCTGAATCCCTTAAAACCCTTTGCTCCAATAACATCCTGCGGCAATAAGTTCTACAGGATAACTGTGTGTAGAAAAATATTTCTTTTGATCAGTTTTGAATTTACCATGTCCTGATTACCATGGAAGCTTTCCATGTTCTATTACTACACAAAAATGGTGAACAGAAGGGTCCAATCTACCTTCACATGCTATTCTTAGCATGCACTGTTTCAAGCAGTGCACTGTTGAGCACATTTTTTAGTCTTCATTTTCTGTCTCCTGATGAATAGCTTACTACAGGCATCTATGATCAGACACACAGCTTGGAATAGCAGGCATATAAGCAAATCTGGGAAAAAAACTGAAAAAAATCATAGCTGGCAATCGCTGTGGGTTGTATTACCTACAGATTGCAGCAAACCTACTTTTTTAAGTTAGCATACAAAAGGTACAGAAAACCTTCAGCTATGAAAACAGTGACTACAAACATACCTCTTTTCACCCACAGCAAGAAAAAGTTATTTTCCAAGGGACTCCAATATACCATGTTGGTGGAACTACTAATTACACAGATAGTGAAAAACAAATTCATAAAATAAAGCAGTTGTTTTACATTTTAAATTTTAACACTTATTTGTATTCTGGTAATGCCCACAATGTGCCATCCACAGACAGAACTCTACTCCAAAGGAGAAGAGAAGAAAACCCACTCAAAATTTCAATGTATATTTTTAAAAGTTTATTGTGAACTTAAATTAAATCTTAGTTTCTCACCTGTCTGTTCCGTTCATCCATTATTCTTGTGATCTGTATTTTCTTCCTCCCCATTTTCACCGTCCTTTCCTTTCCCTTTTTAGTCCAGGAACACAATAATCCAAGAAATCTCTCTCTTCAGTATCCTAACACATGATACTTAGTTCTTCTGCACTGGTTTGTCTTCCACCCAACAAAATGGTTGATGTTTCTTTATATAAAAAACCTAAAATTAAAAAAAAGAAGTTATACTGAAATCATTTTGATTTTAGTATTTTCAAAGTTCAATAATTTCATGTTAACAATGCTTTCAGTCTAAGCAATTCCTTTTATAATGAACCAACACATACCTCCCAATCATATATCTTGTCCATTACTATAATATCAAACCGTACATGTTTTCTAACCAACTGAAATCAAGCCATTCCAGTAAGTTAGACCCATGTGCTGCTGTATACTAGAACTCATAGCTAGGAGTCAAAAGGTACTCAGTGGTTTTATGCGCTCTACCTAAGACACCTTGAAAAGTCCTGATTTTCTGGGAGGGTGGATGTTCAGCACTTTCTGAAAGCCCTTTCAAAAGTACAAGTTTCCCTCACTTTATGCAGGCTCTGTATGTGCAAATTCGCTCTTATGCGATGACCCATTCATTTTATACCAAAAATGGGTTAATATGCAAGGTAAATTCACTCTTCTGCGATCGGTGTGGCGAAAGCCTGTAGTCAACTGCTTTGTGTGGTGCTTTGTGGGAGTGACGTGCACCAAAATATAGTCTCCTGTGTGGCTCTGTGCAACTTGCTGTCCGCGACACCTGTTTCTGTAGTTGCCATCCCCATTATGATAGTGCCCTGTGCTTGGGTGTGCTGTCTGCTCTTGGCGAATACCAAAATTGTCTTGTAAAAGTGGTAGAAATGGGTCGGGGGGTCAGTACAGTTGAGGTCTTGGAACATATCCTTATTTGTTACATGGTAAAGTGGGTTCCCCTTATGCGAATTCGAGTTATGCGCCGTTTTCCAGGAACGCATGTACTGCATAAAGCGAGGAAAACCTATAATCAAACTTGACGCCTACAAAAATTACAAAACAACAACATGCAACTTATTTTATTTTGTATTTGAAACATTTTGATAATGTCATAACAATGTTGATTCTCTGTCCAAAAAGTGAATTCAATGTCAAGTATTTTACCAGGCAGGTGTCTCCACTAAGTCCATTTATGCTTTTTTATTTTATTTATATGGCAATTTCTTCAGAACTTAGGTCAGCTTATCCCCGAGATGCATGTTTCAGAGTGTTAGATTTTTTAAAAATCACGTTTTTAGTATATTCAGCCAATGCTATAAATGTATTTTTCCCACAGGTCTGGTTCACAAGTAGCTAGACACTGATGAATAGCTGAACATTTCTCAAGGTTATGCTCACTACCATTGACTTGCAAATTTTCACACATCTACTAACAAGCCAATTACCAACTCTGCACTTCTGCTGTTTTGACAAAGCCTTGTGTTTAGAAAGATTTGCACTGGATGAGCACAAACTGAAAGGGCAACCAAGTCAAAGACTGAATTTTCACTAACAAGCATGAACAAGTGATAGGAAACCAGTGCAAATCTGTAACACAAGAGACGTTCCGTGGACATAAACTGCTTTCAAAATGGCCAAAACTGGTTTAGGATAAACCTGGATGGATGTATTGTAGCATCAGGCTTAATTGATTTAGGTTAAATTGGTTTACTGAACTTCTGTCCCGGATTTAAGTACCACTTACACAGCTTCTAAGTCAATACTCATAATTCTACTGCAGCAGCCCTCTCAGAAGTCACTAGGGCACTACAATTCACTCTGCCTCTCCACTTTGGGCCACAAAACAATGCTAGGCAACTAGATTTGGACTCCTGCACACTCTCAAGCAGCCATTCCAGTTTGCACATATGCACTTCGGTCTCACCAAAGCTTAGGGGCAATCCAATTTGGTCTGAGAAGCACATAAATTATATCCAAGTCCTTAAGTTCTTAGGCAAAGAAAAACCACACCAAAAACCTGTTTGAGGCTGGCATCATGAGTAAGGAGAAGAGGAAGACCCACCCACCCTTCACCTGACAGCTTAGCAAGTTCAGGTACTTGCTCAGGGTGCAGGAAACCTGGGTTCTGAGCCTTTCAAACCTTCTGAGGCAGTCTGAAATACTATTTCCCTTCTCCCAGCAGAGCATGACAAAGACTATGGCTAGGCAAAGTTGATGAAATCCTCCAGCCATTCTTTTGAAGCTGCTTGATCTACTGGGTGGAAAGAAATGCAGAAACCATGGGAAAAGAGATGCAAGATGTCTGGACTCTGCAGGTTAAGCTTGAGTTCCGATACAACTCATTCATAAGAGCTATTATTAGTTAATATGAATGACAAGGGAAGGAGTCCAAATAGTCACCGTATTAGAGTCTGTACTTTGTTTGTCCAGCTTTCCGATTCAGAATGTTTTTGAAACCGATCCCTGAATATTTTAAGATGGTTGTCACAAATACCCGATTCTTTAAGCCACATGTAGAAAATTGTGTAACCATGCCACAAACCATCTCACAGCTAATAAGTAGTGACAGCAAGAGACGATTAGTCACAGCCTGCACTTCAAAATCTATTCACCCTGCACTGAGGGAATAACCATGACATTCTGATGCTGATGCAGCTTAAAAAGGAAGCAAGGGGATATCACAAGAGCAGGAGATGTCATTTTATATTTCTCTGACATCAACAAAGTCTCCCCTGCTAGAATATCATGAAATGCCCAAGAGACGCAGTATTATATAGAATACAACATTTTTTTTTAAAATCGGCATAAAATACTAAGATTATGTCGCGCCCATTATTTAAGAGGGTAAAACGACACTGCGTGTTATAGATGAATTACATTTTGAATCATTGAAACGTGCAGTATCTATACAAAGTAACAGCAGCATGACAGATTGCATAGTCTTCCAAATATTTCCTACCAACCTTCTGAGACCTACTAATTGGGATGCACACCCTAGATATCTCGAGCAGGGGTTCCTACACTTACAATACAATCCTAAAACCACAGGCAAAAGTCAAAGCCAGATTCAGACCCCACTCTGATGAGCTACAGTACCACCAACCATGTGACAAGGAAAACAAACTCCCTCTGGTCATCTACTGGCCTCAGCTTGAATACCCTGGACACATCAATAATGACTTCCTACGCTACACCTCCTAGAAAGCGATGGCCACCTCAAGGCAGGCTTGGGGAAAAGCCTGTCTTGTCTTACAAGCCAGGACCAAACAAACATCTCTCCAGCAACAGACTATCTAAATTCAATCTCACTAAGCTACCAGGGCTTGGTACAGACCCAGATGCTAGCTGTGCCCCCACAGTAACACAGACCACACCATCACTGGACCAAAATTAACTCTATAAACTGTGGTGTTATCTGGCTACTCACCCGATGTCATATATGCGGTCACCTTCTTACAATGTCCCTCTCCTGTCTACACTGGACAGATGAGATGATCCTTATGTGGAAGAATGAATGGACAGCGATTTGATATCACAAGAGCAGGAGACATAAAATGTACAACAAAGTCTACGGCCGGACGCTAACTTCCTGGACACTGCATCACTGACCTGAAAGTAGCTGTTCTTAAACACCGCAACTTAAAACAAACAACCTGAACTGAAAATTGCAGAAAAATAAATCATCCACAGATTGGGCTGCATGAAGCATGGTCTGAGAGACTATAGATTCTTATCCCATTACTGAGATTAGCTTTTATAACCCCCATATTCCTCAGTGGTTTAACTCCCTCGTTTATCTCTATTGACCTATTCAACCCAGCTTCATCTCTCTCACAAGGTCCCCTCCCTCTACCTTTCATATATAAAATTCCCTTCTAGTTACAACCCCAGGCTTTCTCCAAGTCCATTCACAGCATCTGACAAGGTAGACTATGTAAACTTATGCCTCTCTGAACCAATTAGGTCTCTAAGGTGCCACCCTAATCTGCCTTTTACCTTTCACTTGTAAACATGAGGAGTCAAGCTAGTCACCTAAACATCCATGGAGTTTCTTGGGAAGGTTTTCCCATGCATGCCATTGCAGGTAGCTGCTACCAGTATCCCAAAGCTACCTAGCACTCTTCATGGTGTCTGGGGGCTAGCAAGGGAGACCACTGAGAATACAGCATATTCTCCAATTCTCAGCTCTTCACTAGCTCAAAAAAACACTAAGACCAGCCACTACGGGAAAAGTCAGACTTCACTCCTTGTGCTGGAAGGAGCATGATCACCCAGTTACTCTGTGAGGATGGCATAAATCTAGTCAACCTACACGAGACCTGATATCTTGCTATCACCAATGAAATTAGAGTAAGTCATCCTGCAAGATCCACTCACTGAATGCCAAGGCTGTTTACACCGGAAGCCAGCATGCAGTACTTAGTGTCACACCCTGCTTCCCCATATACCAAAGCCAGGGGTGTCAAACTCATCTGGCTATCTGCCTGACGGCCAGCGTGTGCAACACACAGGCCAGACAGGCTCAGGCAGCACTGTGGGCTGCATGATAGGGCTCCGCAGGGTGGATCTTTTGACTCTCCTGTACTAAACTAAACATTTCCATGTAGACAAGTTCCGTCTGTCCATTTAAATTCTTAATTGCATCTCAGGACTGTGTATTTAAAACAAGACAGTATTTTTTTAAAATCCATTTTTACTACATACTTTAATACAAATACACACCAACTTCCCGAAGCTTTATTAAGTAGGAAAGGCACAGATGGTATTTCATTTGTGAGTGGGTCCACTTATGAACGGTAATTCTTCCACCTACATGAATCCATCTGCAACTCTTCCAACTACATTGTGTGGTATACAAGTACCAATTTACATTTTGGTTATTTAGGGTGCAGTTTATTTTTCCTTTTTACAAGGGTTTTACCTTTGACCTAAAAGTATAGGAAGTTGACTTCAATATTAATTTTGTTTCTACTCAAAGCTTTAATTTAAAATTAAAATCACAGTTGCATGATTAAAAGCACACATTTTAGTAATTCTATACGCCTTGGTAAACTTTGTATCATGAAAAGTTCTTTCCCCCACACCAACAACAAATGGATAGCTAAATAATAACAGGGAAGTTAAGTTAGCAGGCACAAATTAGGCGTCAGAGTAAAAATGAAATTAATGTTTAAAACTTAGGCAGTTTGATATTAACATATT